GACAGTTAAAGGGACTAGGGTTGTGTTTCCCCATGAAGTGCAGACTAACAGTCTCGACTCTCTCTGTCTCTCTCTCTCTCTCTGTCTCTCTCTCTCTCTCTCTGTCTCTCTCTCTCTCTGTCTCTCTCTCTCTCTCTCTGTCTCTCTCTGTCTCTCTCTCTCTCCCCATCCTTCCCTCGCTACCTCTCTTCTTCCCTCCCACCTCCTCTTAGTGAGTGTGTGTGTGTGTGTGTGTGTGTGTGTGTGTGTGTGTGTGTACCACAGTGCACAACCTCTGATGTCAGTCCTTACCTTGTATCTTGTTTGAGACAGTGTTTGTTTGCTAGTGTATCTCAGGCTAGCCCCGAAGCTCCCATTGCTTCTCCTGTATCTTCCGCCCATCTCCACGTAGGGAGGGATACATTACAGGTAGATTTACGGACTCGTGATTTTACCTCAGTTCTGGGGACCTGAACTTGGGTCATCAGGCTTGTGAGGCAAACGCCTTATTTCCTTAGCCAACCGCCCAGCCCCCTGGACTTCTTAATACCTTATGAGTCAAAATGCTTCTAAGTCAGAGGACAGAAACTGACTGCCCTCCATCAGGGATGGATGGAGGAAATGTGTCCACAGGACAGCAGGAGATGTCAAACTGAGTTTGAGATGTTCCTGACAGTTGAGGTTGTAGCCTGCAGAACACATTGCCAGTGTGGTCTGTGAAGGACCTTTCTGAAGGGAAGGGTGGATGGCGTGGTGACGGGGTGTTTCTGAATACCTCCTCTGGCCCATGCTAGTAGTCACGTGGGGGCCCACTCTGACGTTTTATTGCATCTTCTATAGATGGTCACAGAAGATCTGTAGTGAGTAGTATGTGATGGACAGCTAGGAGCTGGCTGGTTCCTGGAGTTGGGACAGATCTTGGAAATCATCTTATTTCAAAGACTGTCAACCCCCCCCCTCAGGTTAACCTATTCTTCCTTTAGCGTCTTGCACCGACTTCCCCAGGTTAATGGTGGTCTTTGGCCTGTGGGAGGAACTGTGTAGAGTGGCCTGTGGGAGGAACTGTGTAGAGTGGCTGATCTCTTACTATAGCCCTGTTACCATGTAAAGTGCTTTACAGGGCCCATTCTTACAGCCTTGTGCAGTAATACCACTATTATATCCATTGTACAGATGGAAAGACTAAGGCTTTCAAAGGTTTAGAGCCTCTGGCCAGGATTCCACCCCAGGTGACAACAAGCGAGCAAATTGACTCAGTCCCGTTTGGGTTCAGATCCTGCTTTCATCACTCTGTGGCATTGGTCCTGGAAAGATGATCTCACATCTCTGAGCCTCAGTTTCCTTTCTGAAAATGGAGAAAATTAGCTTGATGTGGAGTAGGGCATGTTTCCAACCCCAGGATTTGAGAGGAGCGGGCAGGAAAATCATGAATTCAGTGCCAGCCAAGCTACTTAGCAGGACCTGGGAGGGGGCAGGGGGTGGGGTAGATACTGACATTACCCGTGGCATGGGGATGGACAAGAATCAAGAATCCTAAGGGCAGAGTTATGGATGCTGCAATGGCACACAGTATCCGTTCCATTCGACCATCCTTATCCTCTGCTTTTTTTTTTTTTCTCCCATTCCTTGAGCTTTTCCTGGTCCGAGTCTTCCCTTCATGGTGTCCCTGGTTCTAATCAGGCCTCTCTCAGTGACAGGCAGGGATGTTTTGCAGCTCAGCATCCCTCTGACTGATGTCGCCTGCTAATTCCTTACATTTACATATCATCTTTCTTCCCCTGAGCTCATAGCACTTAACAGACAAGTGGGGCACAAATGATTTAACTAAGTGAAATCCAGAGGCCTGCTTGTCTGGAGACTCTGCAAACTCGTGGATTAGCTCAGATGTCAGCGCTGAATTATGATCCTTAGCTGCTCGCGCTTTAGCACGCCACCAGCATTAACTCGGTTCTTGCCGGGGTCCTGTAAATCATGCATAGTGATTATCAGCCTATTGTGAGAGGAGGGAGGGGAGAGGGAAGGAGAAAGGAGGGGCTCTGGAGGCTCTGGAGGCTCTGGGAGCTCGCTGGGAAACCTTTGGCCTGGTTGAGTTCTAATGACAGGGTGAGTAGGCAAGATAGACCCGGATAAAATCCTTGCAGCCTGCCATTTCACACCCCCACACACATTTGGCTTTCCCAGTCGTAACCATCCTGCTATGATGCCTTCGCTTAAGAATGCAAATTCACACAAGTGACAGAATTTCCGCCAAGCAATTCTCAGGCAGCAAGTGGGTCTTATTTGTGAAACTGTGAAGGGAGAAGGCTGAATGCGAAGTCTCTCAAATGTGCTTTCCTTTATAGGTGGGGTGGAAAGAGTAAGAGCTTGGAAGTCACAGGAGCCCAGGGGGTCAGGGGGACCCTCACCGGCATGCGGGTCTACCGGAGAGCCTCCACAGGTTACCCTGGTGTTGGGCTGCTTCACCTTTGAAAGGGGGCTGCTGGTTCAGGAAACCAGAGGCGATGGCGAAGGGATTACATGAATCTGAAGGCTTGCCAGAGGCTAGCAGACTCTGCCTCTCTCCTCATTCTTTTTTCTCTCTGCGTTTGTCATTCACTCATTTACTCATTCATGAAACCGAATTTCCCCGAGTAGCGTGATGATATACGTGGGACTAAGGAAAGGCGAAACATGCAGCATTAAACATAACATGTGCAAGACCATCTGAGATAGGAGACTGTCCGATGGCCCAGCAGGCAAAGGTGCTTGCCACAAAACCCGATGGCTGGAGTTCAGTCCCTGGAAAGCCACGTGGTAGAAAGGAAGAGCCAACTCCTGCAAAGGCTCCCCTGACCTCCATGTGTGCACTGTGCCACACTCATATGCACAATCACATGCACACACGTGAGCATGCGCACACACCCACACCTTAAATAAATAAAAAAAAAAATTTAAAAATCTTGTATGGCAAGCAAGATACATTATGACCCAGTTAAGAGTGCCAGGTAGTGGGTAGTTGCCATGGAAAATGGCCTCAACTCCTTTTGAGTAGTTAACCAATGCTAGAGTTGTTGAGAAAGTGCGGGTGACTATGACATGTGCCGGAATGGTTAGAAGAGCTGGGCTGTGTGGAGAAGAGGAGGTAACGGGAGGTACAGGCAAGCTCAGACAGTGAGGCAGCAGGCCCAGAGGAAGCCGGGTTTGCCTCAGAGAAGGACTGCGAGGTTTGGGGGCAAGATACCTGCAAACAGCTGAAATAAAGAGTTTACTGCGGAGAAATGGGGGATCCCTCCGTTAAGTCCGGGGGTCTGCTTCTGAACCACCATTTTCTCCTTGGACAAGTTGCTTTCACCTTTCTTGGTTTCTCCATTGTGTGCAAAGCAACACGAGGAAGTCTTAGCTCGCAAGCACGTAGCCAGGATGAGATGAGATAATACATACCGGTGTGCTTTGTCACCTGTGAGGCAGCGTGCAATTTTGAGTTGTAATTATTATCATTAATAGTGGTAGCAGAGAGATCTGGAGGGGAAACAGAGGGTGAGAGGACCACTGAGCGGCTGGTGATGGTATCAGCATCCCTTGCTCAGCAGACCCTATCATTAAAGCTGTGCTCTGGAGGCAGCCTTCTCTCCCTTATCTGTGCCTTGAACAGTCTGGAAGGTCTGTCATAGGCTTAGCTCTCACCTAGCAAGATGATACCAGCAGGTGTAACAGCAGCAAATCAGAGACCCCCCCCCATCCCGGAGAGGGTGCTCACCCAGGCTTCTGGAATGCAAGCCTATCCTTCCCCCAGCAAACCCAAGGTGTTCACCATCCCTACGGACTGAAAGAGCTCTGTGTTCATGGGTCAGGCTAACATGGCATCATATTAACAAGAACCAGAAGTGTCTGGCCTGCTCACATCCCAAGCTGGATACATAGCGAAAATATGTCCCTGCCCTGCTCGCAGAGGAGTTTAGCGGACCATGACCCACATCTCAGGGCCCAAAGCAGACCGTGAGACCTCCTCTTTCTCCTCTGTGCGTTTGCTGTCTGCACCACAGACTGGAGTTGCCCATCTCTGAACCCCTGTCTGTGAGGCATAGGGGCTGCCAACCGTAACGGGAGCTCAGCCTTCCACCTAAGTGTCGGATGGATTTAAAACCCATCTGCCAAAAAGGCCATTCTTGAAGCATTTGGACAGTGAACCCTTAATTTCCCAGGACGTGTATATTCTCTGCTAAACATACAGCCTTTGTTAATGATCACGGCCATACCTTTTAAACCACTGGAGCTGTGTGTGCATGGCTGCTTGAGAAAGGCCAAGTCCAGGAAGAAAGGGGGATGTCTGGCCACCCCCACCCCTGATCTACTTAAAGTTGACATGAGTACCCAAGTGACAGTTACTGAGGCCCGGGCATCATCTAACAGCCCTGGCAGGGACAGAAGGTTTTTAATGTCCTCCATTTGGACAGTGCCCAGCCAGACAACAAAGACTCGAAGTATAAGCCACCTGGCTGGAGTCACCCTCCGATCCGGCAGCCACCTCAGCCCTATAAACTCTTCCCTTGTAATTCAGTTCATCAGACGGCATTGGCCCTTTGCGTAAGCCAGAGATGAATAAGACATGGGTCAGGCCTCTTAGAACCTAGGGAGCAGAGACAAGCCTATACACAGCCAAGATTTCAGGTTGGCCGTGCCAGGGGCTGTCTCTGAAAGCGACAGGACACAAGCGATCCAGAGAACTGGAAGAGGGACCCATGTGACTCGAAGATTGAAGAAAGAACTTCAGGAGGAAGCAGCAATTGAATCAAGACCCCAAAGGAGCCTTAGAAAAGCGCACAGAGGGGCTCAGCATGGTGGCACACACCTACAGTATGAGCACTCGGGAGGCAGGAGCAGGAAGGCTGTAAGCTCAAGGCCAGCCTGACCTGCATAGCAAGACCCAACATGTTTCAACACACCCCAAAACTCCAGTCGGACTTTCCGATGGTGGGGCCACAGTTACAAAGAGGTGTACTTCCCAAGCATTTACCGACTGTGTTTGGATGTGTCTCCCCCAGATGACAAGAACTTCTTGAGACTACAGAGCGATGGCCGGCGAGAGGGCCAGTACGGGCGGCTCATCAGCCCACCTGTGCACCTGCCCCGAAGCCCTGTGTGCATGGAGTTCCAGTACCAAGCCACCGGCGGCCACGGGGTGGCCCTGCAGGTGGTTCGGGAAGCTAGCCAGGAAAGCAAACTCCTCTGGGTCATCCGTGAGGACCAAGGCAGCGAGTGGAAGCATGGACGAATTATCCTGCCCAGCTATGACATGGAGTATCAGGTGAGCTGTGGAAGGCAAAGGGCGCAAGATGCGAGGGAACCGTTGTGATCCCTATTCCGTGATATTTCGAAGAGCCCTGCCCATTCATCATTAAGGGACGCGGTTAACCTCCGCTGTTTTCATTGTTTCTTCCGTTGCTATGGCAACTAAATGACACTCTTATTTGTTATTCAGAGTGTGCCTATCTCTCCACCCAGGCTTGGTTCTTTGTTCCTCCTATTGCCTTTTATATTGCTGAAATCTTCTCCCACAAATGTTTCTTCTCCCTATTTTTATTTTAGATTGCTATCAGGTAGACTGGCAAAGGGACACACAAGTCAGGGAAGTACACGCAAACAACCCCTCTGCACTCAAGGCAGTGGAGCCCTCAGAGTGGAGGAGGCTGTGGCCATGCCCTCCCAGACCCGCTCCAGAGAGCAGGAATCCAGGAAGGGGCATAGATGGATAAACATTAAACTCTGTGGTCAACGGACCCAAGAGAGCCCCCAAACAAGTGACTTCTCTCTCTCTCTCTCTCTCTCTCTCTCTCTCTCTCTCTCTCTCTCTCTCTCTCGTCCGGGAATTGCTTTCTATTATCTCTATCCCATGGAGCAAGAGAGTGAGGCACAGATGGGCACATGCATCTGTAGCCGCATCTTGGGTAGGAGTAGACACACTGTGGATGAGGTGACTGAGAACCAGCCAAAGCATTAACCTGCTCCTCCCCAGATGAAGAGCGGCAACAGATGGCTGGCAAGGCAGCCAACTGCTCCTTCAGCTTGCCAGAGGACATGTGCTCGTTTGCAGAAAGGACCTGGGGAGGGTGGGAATGAGGAGGAATGATTAAAGACCACAGAGCTGAGGGGCTTCCGTGCGCAGGCTGCAGCCTGCACTCTTGAGGTTGCGAGACATCCTGAGACCCTCGCTCCCCAGCCTGGGTCCCCACATGCTAACGTTAGGGCAGATGTTAGAAGAACCTGTTGGAGTTTTGGTCTGACCCTCTGCAGGGAGGGCTTCTCCGGGCGGAGCTCTTGTCTTACTAGATTTTCTCACCTGTGAGCCTAGCACATAGTAGATGCTCAGTAAACTGTCGGGCCATGAGTAAACTGCTTCCCCGCTGTTGTATTAATGGATCTCTAAGTCGGTGTGCAAGGAGAGGTCACCTAGAAGGGCAATTCGAACTCAGGTGCCTCTTTATCCTCACCTGCTCATGGCCTCTGAGTTTTCAAATAACCTGGGTTGAGCATTTGAAGGATTTATGAGAAAGGAACCTCAGAAATAGCTAGGGAAATTTCAACACCTCCCCCCCACCCCTTAAGTGTGCTCCATTTGTGGTCCTTTTAATCAGTATATTCTTGTTACTGGACAACAATATCCATCAACTTGCTCTATTTTCTTATCCTCTCAAATATGCACTTGATTTGAACCAACTCTTTTTAAATTAAGATCTCAAGAGATGTAGCCATGTGGTCCACAGATGTGTGCCAGGTGCAATAACACAGACACACAGACACACAGACACACACAGACACACACACACACACACACACACACACACACACACACACACACACACACACACACACATTCAACGGCTGTTAACAGAAATTGGGGAGCTTTACACTAACCATGGCTCTGGTCCTTCTGGCTCTAGATCGTGTTCGAGGGTGTGATCGGGAAAGGACGATCAGGAGAGATCGCCATCGATGACATTCGGCTAAGCACTGATGTCCCACTGGAGAACTGCATGGGTATGTGACTGTCTCTCTCTTCCTGGTTGTCTCCAATAAGATGCTAGAGACTGGGATATGCAAAAGGAAGCAATTACTATCTTAAAACACAATGTTCCCAGTAGGTAGGACCATGCCAGTCTGTACAGGAGGTGAAATGTGGGCACAGTTGTGTCTTGGGCTGGGGGTTGGGGGGCAAGGTGTGATATGAGGTGAAGGTTTATATCCATCTCCCAATCAGAAATAGATGTGCATTAAGTATAAGAAAATTTGGGGTGCCAAGACCCCATCATCAAACTCCAGTTTTAAGCAAAGAAAATGCTAGAGGACAAGAGCACCTGCCAGTCAGAATTACATGCTGGAAAGGTTTGATGGATTTAATGGAAGCCTTCAGCGGTGGGCAAAGATGGCACACTTGCTATATAAGAATGATAACACAATTACCCACGTGGTTCTTTCACATGAATGAACTGCAGGGAAAATTATGGCATGAGCAATAAAATGCTACATTTTGTTTTCACACTAATACTTCTAATGCCCAAGAGTCTGGAGTTGTAGGATTAAGTGTGGCACATCACAGGACCAGCATAGGAAGGACGCCCCTAACTATCTGTCTGGTCAGAAGTGTTGAAGAGCCAGCCCTCCTGAAACGCACGCAGATGTGCTCAAGGCTGCATCCTGCAGCAGGGGTTTCCCCAAGGGGACCCTGCCCACCTCCCATCAGAGCCATGGATGTGTCCCCAAACAGGAAAGGGATCCCGAGAAGGAAAAGCCTTGGTTCCAGCCAGCAGAGTTGTTGTAACAAGTGACCAAGTGCTTTGCTTGGACCTTGGGTCCTGGGTGTCTGTGCCTAGTGATGTCAGAAGCAGCTGAGACTGTCTCAGGCCCCCAGGAAGCTCCCAGGGCCTAGGCATCTAAAAGCAATCCCAGGTCTGAGAAAGTAATCAGTGGTACGTGACTGAGGATAGTACCTTGGGGACCCGTTACTCTAAGAAGGACTTTTTTTGATCCAAAGCAACTTGAGAATCCTCTCTAGTCACCCTTGCCCAGGGATAGTGGTATGTTAGACACAGTCTAGAAAACAAGCAAGAAGTGGGCCACTTTCTGTAGCGTATTACCCAGTGACCTAACAGAAATCATCTTTGTCATGTTCGTTCAATGACTTCTTCCCTTTATCTAACTCAAAGTTGTTTTTTTTCTCTTTCAGAACCCATCTCAGCTTTTACAGGTGAGGATTTTAAAGGTAAAAAATCAAATGTTTGTTTTGCATGGCTTTTTCTCTTTCCATGTGATGTGAATTTGGTGAGGGGAGCAAACCCCTGTTTGACCAAGCTTGTAGGAGAAAAAGGACGCTCCACTTTCTCACCACTAGATGGCGCCAGCGATACCCATAGATACGGGGGGGGGGGGCGGCGATTGAGATTCTCTGTGTCTCCCATTTAATTAAAGTTTAGAAAGCTATAATAGAAGACAAATAGGTTACAGATAAACCTTTGAGCCTCTTGCATTGTCCAACGGGGAGCAATGAGGTTGAAAATGCAGGAGTGGTGAGAAAGGAGGAACTGTGGGAAGATCAACACACACACACACACACACACACACACGCACGCACGCACGCACGCGCGCACACACACACACACACACACACACACACACACACACACACACACACAGGCACCCTCCATGAGGGAAAAAATTACCCATAGTAGATTAAAAGTGAAACAAAATGGCAATGCTCTGTTTTAGGCTGAAGGTGGTGTTTTTCCAGCTCCAGGGAACTGAGGCAGGGTGTCTGTCAGCCAAGCCTCAGTGAGGTGTACTGTCAGGCATTCTAAGGAGGATCTGGAGAAAACATGAGGAGGGCTGTGAGGTAAAGGGAGAGAGGTCCTGAATTCAGAAGCTGGTCACGGGAACAAGGGAGGGTACTCCCTAACTAGAGGCAGAGCACTTGGATTTCGAGGCTGGGAGCAGAAAGGGACACTTTCTTCCTAAGAAAGCAAACGGAGAACAAAGCAAAACAGAGGGAGATTGGGATGCTTGCTTCATCATACGAGGAAAGAGGAGAAAGGCCGCCCGCCTGGAGCAAAGGTTCTGTTTGTGCCTTTCCAATGCAGCGGGTTTACATCCGCCCTCCGCGGTCAGTCTGGCTGCTGATGCTGCCGGCCGCCCAGGTTCCCACCCGGTTTCTAATAACTGAGCACTCAGTAGCTGCTGTAAGTGTAAGTGCTCCCCAGCAGCTGGCCGACTGCGGCATGTCCACAGACCCTCGCCAGCCTGACGCTGAGTCTCTGGGGCCTGTTCGGTGCCAGCCATGTGAGGGGCCGTCTCGCCCTGTTGGTGCTGGCTAGCCTTACCCTTCTAGGTGACAGCAGTTTAGAGATCAGCTTCGGCACTTTCTACCCATCTCCACTTGTTATCCTGGCTCTCATTAATCTGTCCAGCTCCTGACTAGAAAGAGATGAATGAATTCTTGGCTTGACACCTAGACAGGCTCCCTGGATCCTAGTCATCTAGCCGAATTTGCCACTCATCTCCAGTTCTAGGATAACCAATGTGGGGGAAGTAGTAGAACAGAGGACCGGTGTATGGTTTCTTTCTTAGCCTCTCTCCATCTCCCCCACCACATTTGGAAGTACTGAGCATCCGTGCTCACAATCTTGCTGCTCCCTGGGGATGTGACTTCAAATGCAAAGCACTGATAGGAAAGCAGAGGTCCAAACTGAAACAGCTTGGATGGCAGTTGGGTTCTAATCCTCAGGGTGCAGAGTAATGTTTATGCTCCTGACTCTCTGTGGGCTGTTGAGCCTCAAAGCTCCCAGAAAGGCCGGTTCAAGCCCGGTCAGTAACTGCTCTAAAGGCTGTGCACGTACCACGTCTGGTAGTGACTGACAAGTACGGTGGCTGAGGGCTTCGCTCCTGTGAAAGAATAAACACACTAAACACATGTGCTTTCCTTGAAGTCCCGTGCAGCACGAGGCTGCACACCCTAGGCCTGTTCGCCTGTTAAAAGATAGATAAATAAAGTCTCATTTGAGTGGCAAGCATGCACTTAGGCTAAATAAACACGGGGCTCAGTGGCTTGAAGGTAAGACTTTCTAGTAGGCTCGTGGTACTTTGGGGCTGTGCAGGCAGGGCTCGAGTTGTGAGCACTGAGACTCATGGATGCTGAAGACGGCAAAGAGGCAACCCAGTCTTAGGGAGCAGAGACTTGGCTTAACAACATAGAGTCAAGAACAGAATGGGACTTGGAAGTTTCAATCACATTGACATGTTCCGTGATGCTCCTGGACGAACCTGGGGCCAGGCATTCGGACCGCCTCTCATGCCTCTATCTTTACTCATACAAACGTCTCTCCAGATGGGAGGCATGCCTTCTGTTCTCTTCCTGGGCAGGACAATAGGGGACGCTTGCTCACGACATAACATCAGTCTTTTTACTCAAAACAGAGGCAGAATGAAAGGAGAGTTGGGCAAGCAAGGTACGGAGAGCTGATGTGGGAGCACTGCCCACACTGCCGTTTGTAGGGCTTCTGTTCTTTTAGGATTAGGCTGTTTTTCTTTTCTGTTATAAACTGGCCAGGCAGCAGAAGTAATCCCATTCATTTGGGAAGATCAGTGTGTTCCGGGTGGATCTTTAGAGAAATGTGGTAAAAGTGGCCTTTGGACCTGTGTTGATGGCCGCTCTTGAGCTTCCTTAGTTTGAAGTGTCTTTCATTTTCTGCCTGTAACTGGTTTCTCCCGCGCACCTCTGCCTTTTTATTCTAATTGCATTGTGCTTTCCACTTCATTGCGTGCACGTGGACTGTGCGTGCACGTGGACTGTCTACCTGGATGTGCGTTAGTGCGGAAGAGAAACTGTACAGAGAAAGAGGAAGCAGAGAGAATGGAAACACTGTGTCGTCATGCCATTCTTGAAGAGAGCCTTTTGTCATTGATATGAGTCATATTTTAAACAATGTAACATGGGTGTGCTTTCTTGCTTTCTTAAGCAGTGGGTATAAACACTGTGTCGTCATGTATCTTTGTTCTTAAGGTTTGAGCTTTAACAAATGAAAACTGTGTATAAAAGGGAAGTGGGGGGAGACTGAAAAGTGGTATAATTAAGGTGATAGGTTGTTTCCTCAAACTGGATGGTTTTTTTTTTTTCTCAATAAGAGAAAAAAGAACAAGCAAGGACCCAGTAAACATATATAATGCCCATAATCAGAGACCTGTGGCTATTGACCTGCTGGATATTTTGAGCAGCTTGTGATAGAGACAAGAGTTGTTGCTGCTCCTGGAGGAGGCTGTGCGTTTTGAACGCAGCAGGAGCAGACTGTACCTGCTAGAGATCATGGAGATCCAGGCAGGGTCGCACTGCAAAGGTGGCCTTGGGGTGCGGTGCCCTGAACTGCCTTCTTACTAAGGACCCTAAAAGGAGCTTATGTTGGTCCTGATAGTTCGATGGTTGTAAATGTGTCTCCAACTGTTTCTTAGGGTGCCATACTCCATCTTTTGCCTTCCTGCTGTCTCCCACAATTTCCATCCGGGTATAACCAGGAGACAATGAGGCTCAAAGGCTGTTCCATGGGTATGGCTGGGAATCATTTTAAGGGAGAGCCACATAGGGTGAAGCCTGAGGTGGCTGGCACCTGACTCCATGCCTCAAGTTTGGAGTCAATTGATTTGGGGCCCTACAGGCCAATCTGTCATTTTATAGCCCCATCTCTTTTTCCATCCCACCCTCACGCTCATGACCTGCCTCCCACCCAGAAGCTTGGCTTGCCAGGACAACACCCCGCCCCTGGGTTCCTGACTGGACTGCCCCATCAGAGTGCCTTTCCCATTGGAGTCCCTTTCCTCTATAGCGCTGTCTCCTCAGAGCACTTCTGGGGAAGCAGAGAGGGTTAAAGTGGGCGCTTGCACATCATCCTCGAAGGAGAAGTACACTAAGCTCTGCCAGGGTTCCAGATAGGCAGCTGTGGTGTGAGAATCCTCCCCACTGCCCTACCCCCCCCCCCCATCTCCAACTGCCAAGTCGAGGCTAGGTGTTGCGGAGCAGAGAGAATGGGGAAAGATGTGTGAAACAGTCATGTGATGGTGGACTGCCGTCTCTGCCCACAGGACACTGAGGCATTGTTTGTGAAGTTTGCTTGCATGCTCAGCCTCTCCTGTCACAGAAGCTAGACACAGCCCCCCTTCCCCCCAACCCCGCCACCACACAAGTCCATCTAAGGCAGCTGCCAGGACACTTTGGGAAAGGGTGGGAGAAAGTGTTTCTCCCCACCACCTCTCTCCAACGGTACAGAGTGGCAGGCTTTGGTTTTATAGAAGGTAGCTTAAGTTCCAGAAGATGAGAAGTGCCTGCTCCAGCCAGATAAGGGGCTGCGTTGAGAGAATTTAGATAGACAGATGGGCACAGGGTGGGGAGCTACCCCCCAGGTTTCTGCCCGATCACTGCAAACCTCTGCTGAGTCTACTTCTACGTTCTTGCTCATCCAACAAGTGGAAAGAGCTATTCTCAGGGGTGCTTTGAATTTCAGCATCCCTCTAAACAGTACAGGAGGCCTGGCCACATTCTTCCACCGTCTTTCATACATTTTCCTAGTGGATCCAAGCTTTTTCTTTTGTTTGCTTAATCCCACAGATGAAACAAACCCTTTACCTGAACTGTCCCTTCAGCTGGGTTCCTTCTCAGATGGCATAGAAAGGAACCCATGTCAGCAGCATAAAACAGCTTTCAGGTGCAAAGGGAGACCTACCCTTGGTGCCTTGTGGAACATTCCAGGTCCTAGTGGCATTTCATGAATGTAGCTGTGAAAGATGCTTGCTTTTTTCATGGTGAGACTGTGTCATGCCAATTTTCTGACAGGTTCTGACAGAGTAGGAGGCAGAAAGGGAGAGAGGGCTGCTTCCTGTTCCTGCCTTACTTGCTTAGAGCAAAATCTGCAAAATTGTGCTATGAAAGACCAGATAATAAAATATGCCAGTCTTTTGGGGGGACATACAGCCTTTCTGGCAAGCACTCAGCCTCACCGCTAAAGCACAGAGGTGACCAAAAGTGGTATGTAAACAAATGAAGGTGGCAGTGTTCAAATAAAACTTTATAAAAACAGACAATGGGCTACAGTTAGCGGAGGATTCTGTAGACCTGGTTTCAGGTCTGACACGGTCACTAAGCAGGAGTAAGCAATTCTTTAGAGCTCCGAGACATCCCTTGGGTTTTGCCTATGTGTTCCTTTGTCCTCTTAGTTTTCCAACTTCCCATTTTCTTAGATCTTCTCATCCCTCATATAAGACTCATGGAAAATAAAGACTATTCATGTGAAGCCCATGAACCAAGGGCTGACACACTGAAAACCTCTACTGTTTATCACTTTTCCTGTAGTCACATATCCTAATTATTCATTCAATCAGTAACACTGTAAACAGAAATGGAAGGCTCACTACACCTAACAGGTAATTTCTTTTCATTTTTCCCATCTGTGACTTCTCAGAATTGGTTTCTCGAAACCCAAATTCTTTGCATCCACATTTCTCTTCTCCAGGGAGTTCAGAACTTTTGCAGATGGGAGCCTGCTCAACCTTGCAAATACACTTGGAGTTATTGTCTATTTAAGTATCTGTTTCTCATTATCTTGAACAATGAGAAAACTTTGTGGAGAATTGGGGGTGGAAATTAATAAAAAATGGTCGAGGAATTGAAAACATTTTTCCAACTGAAAAGAAAAAAAACAGATATGTGGTTGAGTGGTAAAAGAATAGTCAGCGGGGGAGTTGGGACAGACATCACCAGCTCTCAAGGTTGATGTCTCAGCTCCAGTTTTTGCTTCCAGGTTGGTGTAGCTAGCACAGAACTCTTTATTTGTGAAGCAATAGCCCAGTCGCTCCATAGGAAAAGGGGTGTGAATAAGGCTGATATCCAGCTGCTTGTGTTCCCCAAAGACACCCTTTTCTCCCTCCCATAGGGACACTGTGAGTGGGAAGTGTTTCTAGTACCTGCTGAGAGCAATTCTGTGAAGCCTAGTGAGAGGTCAGCATTTCCCGGGGAGTCTGAACATTGGTCCAAGATACATCCCTCTACCACTCTATCTATTGTCTGTCTGTCTGTCTGTCTATCCATCTATCATCCATTCATCTGTCCACTCATCCATCCATCTATCCATCTGGTATTTATTGGACTTCTGCTTTGCTAGGAAGACGTTTTGAGTACAGATTTAACCCTGGTTGGTTTATTACCTTCCTTTTCCGTAACTTGTAAACCACAGCCTAATGAGCCTATAACCCTTCAAGGCTGTGGCAGAGCCAGGTTCCAAACCAGCACAATCCACTTTGGAATCAGGTCTCTAGCTGGAGAATGTCCTGAGAAACTTCTGGTCCCTACAAGCTATCCCTAAATTGCTTGGTAGTGCATAAGGAAGGTATTGTTAGTCATATCTCCTTCTCTTTCCTAACTCCTTTAACATTAAAGTCATAAATTTATATAGTATGTTTTCTCATTTTTCCAAGGAAAATGTTTAAGAGGTCATCAAGACAATGTCCCCAAATGGCTCTTGTCACTCAAATTATCACATGTTCTATATGTTGATAATTTCACACAAGAGGGCTTTGGGGGCGGGGCAGTCTTTAGTATATAGTGGAGTCTGTCTTCCAAAGGATACCTCTGAGGTGATGGCTCACATAGCTGATACTGAATACTAATCCCCATGTTATGGTTTAACCTCTCATGACAGGAAGGAAGACCTCCCCGCTGTGCCCCAAGTCATAGCTACCATCAGAAACACTCTCAAGGTAGCATCAAGGCTTCCCCCTGCCCAGTCCCAGGAGGTAGCGGAGGGAACAGGAGTGACCGTAACTACGCTCCCATCTTCGCAGTCAGGCACTTCAGGAAAGGCTTAACCGCTGAATTTGCCACTTGCCTTTTCTCTGATGGGTGAGCTGCAACCTCATCAGAGGACGGCCCTCATAATGCAGCAATCAGAAGTGTAGTCCAGGAGAAGAAAGACGCCTCTGGTGAACTCTGGGCCCACCTGTACATTTAGTCATTTCCCAGCATCTTTGTGAGCTCCCAAGAAAATCCAGTGGCAGGGTGGTTGCCAAGCAGCAGATACTCTTGGTGACTTGAATCATGAGTTGATGTCAGCTGACAGTGACCTGCAAGCTGACCACTGAAAGGAATCATTCTCAGTGCTTTGCATTCTTTCTATCTTGATTTCTATGCAAAATTCTCAAAAAAAAAGAGAGAATTTTTTTTCTTAATCCATAGTAATGGAAGGTATTAAAATATGTAAATCATAGCTGGGTGTGGAGGCTCACACCTGTAATCCCACCACTTGCTAAGGCAGGGAGAGGTTGTTTGAGTCTATCCTGAACTACATGATGAATTACAGATTAAGTAGCCTTTGCTACAAAGTGAAAACCTGTCTCAAGATAAACAACGAACAAAAGGAGATGGGAATAGTTTAGGGAAAAGAAAAAGTGTGGAGTCACGTGAGAAAGGATAAAGGAAGCAGCCTTCAGGGGTCCTGGGATAATGGGGTCTTTTTCACCCCAAGGATATAGATGTGGCTATTTTTGTGGCATATATGTGGCATATATTATATGTATGTAAACTAAGGAGCTGGTCTTTGTCAAAGCCCTCCCAACACTGTAGGACTTCTGGTGGCCTACACTGTACCAATGAAACTGCACCCTGATGAAGGGGGGATCCCCACACTAAAGGAAGTAATGACTCAAGACTTCATTAGATTTCCCAAGGAAAATCCTCTAGTTTTCCTCTCACTTCTGAGGAGACGTGGGAAGTTCTGACCACCTCTCAGCTGGTCCCCAAATGGAAGGAGGCATTCTGGAGATCAGGCTGTGGGAACAGGGAAACACTCAGAGCTGGGATGTGGTTTGGCAGTGGCCTCATAAGGCATTGGCAAGGCACCTTCTCTGCACATACTCTTCCGTGGAGACGGAGTCCGGCTTCTGCCTCCGGAGCTCAAAGTCTCATGGGAAAGACGAGAAGGGTAGCCAGGCCCAGCCTGCGTGGTGAGCAGAGGTGCACCCACAGAACAGAAGCAGTGACTAGGCAGCATTTCCCCTCCCCCACACACCCCGTAAGTGAAGGAAGCATCTTTTAGGCCACCAGCACGTGATACAAGCAGCTTGGGAAGCATTTCTCATAGGTTAAGCATACATCATTTTTCAGAAGTAAAGATCATGTCTGCCTTTGGCAAGCTCCAAAGCGCCTTAGTCCCTTTCTGGGCCAGATTCTCATCTGATGTAAATCTTTGGGAGAATCAAGTTGTAGCACTGTTTTGCATGGAGTGGGAGTCAAGCCAGTTTTTCCCCTGAGTTACCCTAAGCTTAACTCTACTACAGTGTCTCCATGGCAACCAGAGGCTGGCCAGTAAACTCAGATGCCTTCTAAATCTCCCACCCCCACCTTCTCCTCCCTGCTCTCTTTTTCACGGTTAAGAATGAGCCTCTCTTCTGCTTGCCCTCACTCACTTGGTGTCCCCTCGCTCTCACATTCCTTTACTGCTTTGTGTTCATATTTTTTTTTCTTACAACTACCCATCCAATCTGCTTTTAAAATCCTCCATCCAATTAAAAAAAAAAAAAATGAAGACAGGTTAGTCATCGCTTGACAGTGGTAATTGACCTGTTTAGACAAGACCAAGCTGATTTCAATGGGCGCAGAAGCCTTGGCAGACCAAAGTGGAATTTACCTTCAAGTCTAGCCAGCCTAATTAATACATTGTTTGAGAATTCTGGCCAGCCACACCAAATATGGCATTTCCACCCACTTGGAGTATTCACCTAGCTGAATCCCAGCAGCCATTGCAGCATCATTTGTGTGTGTGTGTGTGTGTGTGTGTGTGTGTGTGTGTGTGTGTGTGTGTGTGTATACACACCAGAGAGAGAGAGAGAGTGAACTATAAAGCTTTTCCATACGATAAAGTAATTCTGGCTAAATAGCAAAGGGTAGCACTCTTGGTAAGGGTAGCACTCTTGGTAAGGGTAGCACTCTTGGTAAGGGTAGCACTCTTGGTAAGGGTAGCACTCTTGGTTGAAGCTTGTTTACCACCAGGTGAATAGCCACCGTTGATTGGCCTCTCTGAGCCTGTTTCCCCAATCTGTAGAATGGGTTAACGTACCTGATGTATAAAGGGACCAGTGGAGAAACTGCAGCATTATAAACTGCTGGTGTATACGAAGGCCGAGTACCACCCGAGTCCCCGGTCCCCGGCTGCATTGCCCAAAGCATGTGTGCTTTTCTCTCTCTTTCTTTCTTTTCTTTTTTTCGTTATTTCTTTTTTAAATTGATTTTTTTTTTAAATGAGTCCGCATGCTCTCAGTCTAGCAACACTCTCTGTGTCTTTCCCCCAGGGGGCACCCTCCAGCCAGGGACCGAGCCCACAGTGGACACGGTGCCCGTGCAGCCCATCCCAGCCTACTGGTATTACGTTATGGCGGCCGGGGGCGCCGTGCTGGTGCTCGTCTCCGTCGTACTGGCCTTGGTGCTCCACTACCACCGGTTCCGCTATGCGGCCAAGAAGACCGATCACTCCATCACCTACAAAACCTCCCACTACACCAACGGGGCCCCTCTGGCGGTGGAGCCCACCCTAACCATTAAGCTAGAGCAGGAGCGGGGCTCGCACTGCTGAGGGCCGAAGCAGGAACAGCGCCCAAACAGACAAGAAAGACTGCAAACACGTTGCCTCGATTTTGCACTTTTTTTCTCCTCGCCTAGTCTCTGCGTGAACCCTCAGACCGCTCTCTCCAGGGTCTCCAACCTTGAGCACTCTTATCTGCCCCAACCGTTCTCTGTGCTCCTTGGTTCCTACTTCTCTTTGCTCTGTTATTTTTGTTTGCTTTCCGTATCATTATTTTTCCTTTTAATCTCTTTGATTCCCTTCCTTCTTCCTTTCTTTCCTCCTTCCTTCCTTCTTTTCTTTCCTTTTACATGACTCTAAACCAACAAAACCCAACTCTAATGCTGCATCTGGAATCCCAGAAGAGATCCGCCCCTAAGCACTTCACAACCCAAGGCTCAGTTGGTTTTGTTCCAGAGACAGGCTCTCTTGTTTTCTCCCCTCCTTGCCTTATCCCATCCCTCCTCTCCTGGGCAGGCTGCCAGGTGTCTTGAAAGGAGCCTGGTTCTGTATGTATGTACACAGTACACTCCCATGTGAAGAGGTGTGTGTGTGTGTGTGTGTGTGTGTGGTGGGTGTGTGAGGGAGAGACTGACTCACTGTGGAGGGGGGGGAGTGTGTGGGTGTGTGTAGAGAGGGGCTCTTCACTCACTCTTGTGTTACTTCTCCTGGGGTACATTTTACAAGAAAATAATATACTGTACACATTTTGTTTACTTGGAGAAGAAACTGAAGCTTTTTTGTTGCCTTATCTAGCTCTCTCTGGCTGGGTTTTTGTTGGCTGTCATTGTCATCTCCAGGTACCTAGAAAAAGAGAGGCCACGTGGAATACAATGTGGCTGCACCCATCCTCATCCCCATCCCCAACCCACCTGACCCAAGAGGATGGTTCCTCCAGGGCACTCAGACATGACCCCTTGTGTTATGTCTCCCGGTGTCTTTGAAGTCACAAGATAACAGCCATTGGGTTCATGGAGCCATCCTTACTTCCAGCCCTGAAGCAAATGTGTCTCATGTTGCCTTATAAAAGAAAAAAAAAAGAAGAGGAAGAAGAAGAAGAAAAGTTCATAATGAATGTTTAGCTCTGATGGTCCAATCATGGAATAAGTCATAAAGACTAACACACCTGGGATGATGTCAGTGCAGTAGTTTGTTTAAATTGAGAGCAGGAGGGGGAAGACAGAAGAGAGGAGATGGAGGGACTCATGTTGTCTTTGGAAAGTCTCCTCACCCCAGGGCATCATCGCATTAAGCCTAATGTGGGATGGGGTTGAGGAAAAAGGTATTCTTTGGTATTATTTTGGTCATTGTAATAGCGTTTGTAAAATGTGAGGGAGAGGGGGTTATTTGCTTTCTTTTCATGGTGTTAATGTGTGCCTGAATCTTTAGCTACTGAAGTATAAGGCTGTCCACCTGACTTATTCAGATGTTACAAGAAAACAGAAAGGAATCATTTGCTGAAATGTACCGGTGTGCTGCCCCCCTTAAAGCATTCATGGCATCTAACCTGATGGGCTGGCCTGCCATCTGCAGATGCCACGGCTTGGGCAAAGAGAAGGTGCGTCATAGAGGCACACCCATCGATGCCCACTCTTCTCCCTAAACAATGCACAGGGAGGGATGCTAGTGAGCGGCTGCCCAAGGATTCTGTGCAAAGAAAAGATTAAATGACAAAGTCAATTTCATTGCAAGAAAGTGTATATTTGAAGATTTGGGGTATACTAGGGCTCAGTCTTGGAGGGCGTTTGTTTTCTACTTTCCACCGAAAAAGCCTCTTGGGAAGTGTACAGTTCTCTCAGGATGGTTTACTGGTCAGATACATCTCCAGACACCTTCTAAGAACAAAATACTAATGATTCTTTTTTTTTTTAATTGCTTGGGAGAGAGCCGCTCAGCACTCTTTCAGAGTAGCCAGATAGGTCCCCCTAGCTCGCTCTCAGCCTTCGCGCCTGGTTCCTTTCATCCTCCTGAAAGGACGTGGTCTCCCACTCTTAACTCTGTTTCAAAGAGCTGCTCTGTCTCAACGACAGCAGCTCCGCCAAGAAAAGAAAAGATGAAAGGCTAGAGTGTGGCTACTTTGAGCTGTCCTACCTCAACGGAAGATGGAGAAGGAAGCGTGAGCAGGAGGTAGGCAGCAGCCCTGGGTGGGAGAGAGCCATGCCAGTCACCAAGGGCTTTTAAAAAAAAAAAAAATCAGGATTGTTCCCTTCTGGCTGAGCACTTAGGGCCAGGCATTCCTTGCAAATGATTGACATTCCTACAGGTGCCCTGTCGAGGCATCAGAAAACCACAGCTAGAAAAATCCATCTGGTGTAGCCAAAGCAAGATGGCAGGCACTTTGTGAGCTTGCTCTGTGCTCCTCCGATGCCCTTTGCAGGCAGCATCATCTTCATGTACATGTCACAGATGAGAAGATGGTGAATCCCATGATATCCTTTGGCTATGATTCATGCTTAAGTGCTCTCTCTCTCTCTCTCTCTCTCTCTCTCTCTCTCTCTCTCTCTCTCTCTCTCTCTCTCTCTCTCCTTCCTGCTCCCCCACTCCAGGATCTTTCATAGTATTTCCTAAAAAGGGTAGCTGATGTGTAAAAAAAATGCCACACCTTGCTGCTTTAAAAAGCAAAATTCCATATCCAGTTAGGGAGGAAAGCGTCACTCTTGTCCAAGGAAACTGGACTGGACAGATGAATACACGCATGCTGGAGTGTAGCGTTGCTTCCCAGAAGACAACGCGGTGATCCTAACTGCTAAAACATGAAAGGGTGCATGAGTGAGGTGAAGGGCCAGCTGGGGCTGGAAAGCGTTTGCCTTACTAGAGGTCTCACAAGAACCCTTCCTTGAGAGGATGCTAGCAGCTGCCCTCACCTATTGCTGGCACACGCAGGAAAAAAACAAAAACAAAAACAAATGTAGCATTGCCATTGACAAAACGGGACGCCGAAAACAAACGCATCCTTTCTCTTGTCCCACTCTTTCTGATTAGAACCAGAACGGGCGATCCAGTCATATTTTTGAGGTCGATACCCCCATCTTTTAAAAGACCCCATCTTTAAAATAAAACTTAGCAGGCAAGCAAACACCTAAAAGGTCAAAAATTACCAAAGAACAACAAAACAAGAAAAACCTAAAGATTTTTAACTTCCTGTTCTTATCCCCTCTCCCTGTAACTGTGACACCCCTTGCCTCGCTCAGCTGCCTGTGTGTCAAAATAACTTGTGGATGTTGAAAACTATTTGAAAATGTATTGTGTGGAATGTAATAAAATGATGATATTTTTATACAAACATCTGGGTTTTTTTTTTCAGCACCACCCCCGCCCCCACCCCGCCCTTTGCTTGTGAGAACAAAGTTGAAGTGTAAGCTTTGAAAAAAATTTGATGTCTCCAAAGTTTCCACATCACCTTCTGAACTCTGGGGCATCGGTGTGGGAGAGAGGGATGTCCTCCTCTTGAAGCTGAACGCCGGCCTTCCTTTCTGTTTCTTTTCATCACTGCTTGCTAGGAGTTTTATCCAATTGATGCAGCTGAGCCAACTTTTATGATTGGTGTGGGATTTTGTGAAATTTGCTAAGTGCTAAATTGCTGAATGTGATGCCACAAAATTTCTCTTGATGGCAAATCCAGGGAGACTGGAATCTCCTTTCAAACTGCCCCAGGGGGAGTGGGTACAGCTCTTGTGCCTGCTGGACTCAGCTCCACAGAGACACAGCCCTTCCTCTGGAAAAGAAACGACGACCTCTGGTCCCACACCTACCAAATGATTACTTCCTGGGGGACACTGATCTCCAATTTATGAATGATTTCCCTGGAGCAAAGGGAACAGGGAAATCTTCTAGCGTGTTCGGGGCTCAGAGATGGTCAGGATTTCAATTTTGGACAGCTAATAAAGATTACAGGATGGATGTTGTGAACCTAGAGCTATCAGAATGGGCATTTATTAAAGGAACATTCTGTAAAAGCTTTGAGCTGATGGAGACCCACTTGAGAGTCTGATCTTCTTCAACAAGTTTTTTGGTTCTGTCTGGTTTGGTGGTTTGGTTTGGTTTGGTCTGGTCCATCTCTGTAAATAGTTAGTGATATAGTTGTGGTAGATAATCTGAATCTAAAGGAGATTCCAGAGGGAAAAATACATAGGAAAGGTAACTTCCTAGTAGCTTTGAATCTCTCAACAGGAGGGGAGAATTGGTCACAAGAGGATTTATGTTGCTTCTGGTGTACTCAGTCACCCCAGGATCCTTTCTAAGAGGCTGAATGATCATCCTAGATGGTCTTGCAAAGAGAGACCTGCCCTGAGGACCCCTTTTCTGCCAGGGTCCTGATTTTTCCTAGGTCCTATCGAAACCTAGACCCGTGATTCAGCACATCTCAGACCTGTCTTAACCCTGTAAAAGGAAGCCTGGCTTTTCAGATCTCACAGGAAACTGTTAGTACAGATGGCTCAGGGTAGATGTCATTATCTATCCTCTGCAGGAGCGTAGAATTCAGTGTCCATGATTAGAGCATTGCCTGGTTTTCCCGTGCCAAGCACAATTACCCATTTTGTCTAAGTAACATTTGGCTGGCCTAAAACTGTTTGTTCCCGTTAACAAAAGGCAAAATGGAAGCATCTCCATGTGTTTACTTCCACCAAAGACCCAGACTCTGTCTACATTTGCCTGCGATGACCTGGGACCACACATGCCAGACTGAATTGAATCAGTCAGAGCTTTGTTGGCATTGCTAACAGTTTTGGAGCCACTTTGGGGAAGTATTCTGCCTTGCCTCTGGGGCCAAGACTTATTTTGGGGGTACTCTTTCTCCCCAAGAGGGTAACAGCTGCCAGGAGTCAATTTTACACGTTCTTCACATCACTTTCACCCATAAACATTCCTGCATGTATTTCAGACTTAGCCCAAGTGTAAATGTTGCAGAAATTATGTTTCTGTGAGTCATAGATTGCAGATGTCAAAGCCCGGTGTGTGCACCCTGTGTTAGCTCCCACCTGGGCCTTCACTATGACTTAAATGTGCGTTCTTGCTTCGACACTGCCCTCCTAGCCCAGACCACCAAAGCCCAGCCAAGCGAGTGTGGCATGGGGTTAGTTTACCCCACCACTCCTCACTGACTGTGGGCTTGTGCTGCACAAACACTGTGGCCTTCTGTAATCGGTGATGAAAGGAGGGTTCATCTTGAAGTTTTGATGTGTTTGCGTTGTGGCCGCACATCTGAGGCAATCTGCAGACGGATAGGTGTGGGCTTGGTTTTGTTGCTGTTATTGTTTCTCTCTGTAATTGTGCAGAGCATGGGGGCTCTCGCAGCTGTAATTTGCCTTTCATCCACCTTAGTGATGGCCCAGAGAAAACACAAAATGAATCCAGCCAGAGAAAGGGGAAGGGAGAGGAGGAAGCCCGCTGATTATCTTAGATCAGCGGGAGGGGGGGAAATTGTCCTAAACAAAGAAGTTAGAAACCAGAAGTGGTGGAGGATTTAATTAAGCTTCACCTCGGTCAGGTGCACAGGAGTTTGTGCTGAGGTCAACTGCAACCAGAAATCTACTCCCCTCGGAGTCATCGGACCATAGTCACAGCTGGAGTGTGTTTGCCTTGACCTCTTGGAGTCATTCTATATGGCACCCATCCTAACTGGAAGGGTACAGGATTTAGGAACTCTCCACAGAGCAGAACCCTAGTTAGCAAGATGTGGGTGGGAGGATCACAAATCTAGGAGCTTCAGGTGACCAGCAGAAGCCATTTCTGCCCCAAATCCTCTGGACAAAAGACCCACAATCTCTTCCTTCTTGGTAATGTTATTGCTCTTGGGACTGCCTGTCATGACCTTACAGAGCCACAAGAAATCATTATAAATAGTTAATCATAATCTAATGTAAATTCCCATGGGCATTGGACTGAGAAATGAGAAGCATCTTCAGATGGGCCCGGAATAGAAGGCCTGGAGGCTGGGTGTTGGGTGGGAAAACACCTTCCCTTTGGAATCACACCACTAGGGTGGTTATTGACACCAAAGTTGAGGGAATTTTCAGATGGTAACTGGCAGACTCTTCTCTCTCTCTCTCTCTCTCTCTCTCTCTCTCTCTCTCTCTCTCTCTCTCTCTCTCTCTCTCTTTCTCTCTCTCTCTCTTTCTCTCTTTCTCTCTCCCCCTCTCTCCCTCTCTTCCTCCCTCTCCCTCTCCCCCTCCTTCCTCTCTCCCTCACCCTCTCTCCCTCTTTCTCTCCCTCTCTCTCTCCCTGTCTCTCCCAGTTCCTAAGTGTATATGGCTACCTTTCAAGAAGTACAATAATACAGAAAAAGCAGTCATTCACTTTATTGTTGACCAACCCCAGTCTCCTCCCCAGAAGTGACCACAAAGATGGTTTGAAGCCACCTCTTTATACCTTTAGAAGCACACAAGTTCCTGTCAAATGATGTAGTTTGTTTTAGCTGGAGTTCCTTTGTTTTCACACCATACTATCATAACGCTTCTTTTGCCTGGAAAACCTGCTTCTTTTCACGTGGCGTCTTGAAGAGCCTTCAGTACCCATGTCAAGTTTATTGCCCCACCCACCCCCCAATGTGGCCATATTGTCTTGACATGCCATAGTTTATTATTCATCCCCCCCCCATTTGTGGTTATTTAGATTGCATCTAGTTTTCGTTTGCTGTTTGTTTGGGTTTTGTTTTGTTTTGTTTCTTTGTTTTTAACTGTTATGATCGCTGCTACAATGAAGACGGTGTTTGCCTCTTTTCCTGTTTGCGTTTTAATAAACATTGCCAATAGATAGGAAAGGTTCATCTATGAGGGAACCTGTTTTCATGTGGGGTAATTGCAGAACCTAGGAATACCATGGATATGGATCCCCTCCCATATTTTCATGGAACACCTAATCTCTGTGACTCTCTCTAAAGTAGGCACAGTCCTTGCTACAGAAGACTTTGGGCAGTTTTAGGAAATTCAAAACTCGGGGCATACTTCTCTAGAACTTTAAAATATTTTTTAACCACCAGGTTGTGGAGAATACGGTCCTGTCTGAAAGTGGCAGCTGTAGCCCAGGTTGATTCTGTCCCTGGGTTCAGCAAGGAGTCCTGTTGTCCATGATTAATGAGTTCTGCTTGGTTTCTACAAAGAGCAACTGTGCTGTGCCTTGTTGTAATTTATTTATGTTTTCTACTAAAAAATTCATGTAAAAATATCCTTTAAGGTCACTGCACAGCATTGTACTGCAGACCAAATGATTCCAGCAACTTCAGGTAGACCCACATGCCAAGAGGAAGTCTCAAATCCTAGGGGGTCCCCACGGAGGGGAAGGCCCTGAGAGGAACAGAGCTTGTGGGCTGAGAGGAGGCACTGATCTTTCTTCCAAGGAGGCTCAGGGCTTTGGCAATAAAGGAAAGACATTGGCAGCGGGGTTGTTCTCTGGTGGGATGTCTCAAAATGTAGGCAAATCTGTTTATCCCACAAAGCTCAAGCAAGGAACAGCAGCAGCAGGAAGAGACGCCAACAGACCTGAGTCTGAAACACTATTTCTAACAAGAGCACTGCCTTGAGTTCTATTGTATATGAGACAAGAGAGTCATAGCATTATCACATTAGCTCAGAGCATAGGGAAGGGTGTGTAGGGCCATGTATGTCCGTGTGGGCTTTTTCTTCTCTGAAAAAGATCTAGCGTCCCTTCCTCATGGATGTTTGACCCAGTCACATGACTCAGGAAATAAAGAAGACCCAGTATGAGGCCTGGTCGGCTCCAGATGCCACGATGCCAAGCCCTAAACACAGTATCCCCACTGGTCTTCTCTGTGGAGTGGTACACACTTGATCACTACCCAAAACAAAGACTCCCATCCAGATATGAATACACCTCTGTAACTTGTGGAGTGCTGCCAGCTCCAATGATGATAGGAGTGTGCAAAGCACTTTGAGATGGATGTGTCCCTGACCAAAATTCTATTCGCTGAGGGTCTGCTAGATATTGAAACACATTTTAGCACCAAGGACCTTTTGTCTTTTGTAGTTCCTTACACTAACACAGGCCAGTAGAGGAGCATGATGATTTGGAGAGGCCGTTGTGCACCTCTCAATTGTTTCTCTAGGAATATCTCAACATATGGAATTGAGAACCAGAAGATAATCTTTGGGACCTAGACCAAAGCTACCATGGACAGGTCCAAAGAGCTCAGAGGGGGCACCTTAGCCCAAGCCAACTACAGACCGAAAGTATGACCCAACCAATAATGTTCATGGGAAGCGTTGGGCCTATCACCATTTCCATGGTCTGAAATTCCAGATAAGGCCACAGTGCCCATCTCTCTCCCCCATAGAGGACCAGATCTTCACTCCTTCTTATGCCAGGTACAGTTCAGCCTCCACCCTTCCCCTGCCTTGGTGGTTCCTCTTCTGGTGTCTTTACATCTCTTTACCCTCCTTCTTCCAAGACCTTCTCTCAGAAAAATCATAGGCAAGAGTCCTTCACTGAAGGGCTTAATTGATATTTCCTCCAAAGAGGAAGTTCTTGTGAGAAGACAAATTTAAAGCCAACAGAATCTTTCTGTTGAGATGATAGTCCTCAACTGCCAGCAAGAAGCTGGAGAAATGTATCTTGTGAATGGATTGAGAATGATACTTTTTTGGCCTCTGTAAAATTATATTATTAGTATTCATTCTTACTTATAAGAACGTATACGCAAAGGCCAGCTCATAAGTATAGTGAATTTTCTTGGTGACATTTGTGGGAACAAAGTGGTGGCATTTGTTAGCCTTCTAGAAAAATGATCACTTTCATACTAGAAGTTGGTATCAGTTTTGATTCAATTCTGTCTCCCTTCTTGACCAAGGTTGTGCCAAACCTCCCTTCTGAGTGATGTTTCTTGTATGGTCACTTTTATGGTTTGGGTAATAAAATGTCCCTCCAAAGGCTCATGTGTTGAAGGCTTAATCTGGAGTTGATAGACAGATAATTGTGTCATTAGGCTACTGACTTGATCAGTGGGTTAAGACATGGATAGGTAAATACGGGACAGGCTAGTGGAATGTGGGATGTGGTTGGAGAAAGTGGATCCCTGGTGGTGTGCCTCTGAAGGGTGTACCTTGTCCTTTGCTGCTGTCTCTCTGTCTCTGTCTCTCTGTCTCTCTCTCTGTCTCTATCTCTCTCTCTCTCTCTCTCTCTCTGCTTCCCAATGGCTACCAGGAGGTGAACAGCTTTGCTCTGCCCTTCCCTTCTTACCATGTTCTGCCTCCTTGAGAGCCCACAGTGACTGCTGAAACCGTAAGGCAAAGCAAACAGCACCCCCGCCCCCGTTTGTTCCACTCAGGCATTTGGTCCCTGTGATGACAAACTGATTGACACAGATCACTTGATTACTGGGACTTGGGGACGTCAGAAATGTCAAAAGTCCCACGAGGAAAAGGAAAATCTCTGGCATATAAATTTAGACAAATTCTTTTCCTTCGCATCTCTAGGAATGCGGGGAGAGAGGTACAGCACTTTCCCCCTGAGAGTCTCTGTGTCTTCCTTAATAGAAACTAGCCAACAAAAAAGGACAGAGAGCCGATGGCTTGTTGACATACCTACTTTGGGGGATGGAGAGTATCTGGTTTTTCAAAGACTTAGTTGGTTTAAAAAAAAAAAAAAAGATTCCAGAATTTTCTCCCCTGTCTTGTAAGCCCATCTATATTATAGTTAAGCATTTCCCTGACTGCATTTTTCTTTTCATGCCATTGTTGAGGCTCGGTGGAGACTTCCTGGCCCCAGCTGCTCATCTGCCTCCATGCTTGAATGTATTATTATTAGGTCACTTCACGGCCTTCTTGTTTGCAGTTCATATTTCCAAATCTTTTTAGGGTTTCTTCCCAGTTTTTAACTAAAAATAATGGAAAATAATGACTGCATGCGCAACTTCCCCAGTAATCTCAGAGCACCCCCTTTGTCTTTTCCTAATGAAAACCACACGGAAGAATTCCAAAAACTGTTTTTTTCCGTGACCCTCCATACATTTGACTGTGCCCTGAAAGATAGAAATCCATGCTAAAGGATCTTCTGGGGGGCGGGGTGCTTCTAAACTCAGGCCAAACCCAGCAAGAAATGAACAACTCTCAAGTAGCCCGAGTTTCTAATGCAGATTTGGCAAAGTCTATATCAACATCTGAACTTCTGGCTCCTCACAGCAACTGGGGATGAACGAACTGAATTAGGGAAATTAAGTGTGGTGGGGAGGGAGAGTCCTCAGCCAATACTAAATGCTAAACCAAATTAAACATTTTGAAGTGCCAAGAAATATCTCCTTAGCCCTCCATTATTTCTGGTTTATTGAGATCTCAGTGTTATGTTTCCTGCTGGGAAAAAAAATAATAAAACAGAATGGCTGGGAGAATTTTCTAAAGGCGACTTCCACCTGAATGACCCATTGATTTAGCTGGCGTGGGGGCTTCAGGAACTTGGACTCAAATCCAACAATGGCTCTAAGCAGCCAAGAGCGAATCCCAAATAACTCAGAGGCTGCAAACAAGGTGTTGAAAATCTGTAGCTTGCTTTGGGTCTCGCGCTGATTTTTTCCAGTGGCTTCCTGCATTCTCCTACCTTCCTCTGTCCGCTTCATCTCTACCAGAGAGGTGTTGACACTTGGTACCTGCAGAAACGACAGCATTCAGAGGTCCCCTGTAAGAGGCTCTTGAATTCTTTCAAAGGTGGTTGAATGTTAGTGGTTTCAATAGGACTCAAGTCTATCTTTCTGTAAGATGCTATTGGCCCAGCTCCAGTTAAAGCTTGAGATGAGGGCCACGTGGTACCCATTTTATCACCTCCTGAGTTCACAGCACTAGTTCCTAGGTCAAACAAGCACGTGTTGAAAATGTGGAACTTTGTGACTCCCAATGCTCTGTGCTTTTCATGTTCTTCTCAATGACTTCAGAGAGGACGGGGTTAGGGTAAGGGATGGTCAGTGGGTATTACGGGATGGCAGGGCTCTTGTGTTTAAAAGTCTCCTTGTGTATGTCAACCCTCATCAGGAAAACAGATGATGGGGTCTGGAGAAATAGCTCAGCTGTTAAGAGTGTGTACTATTCTTGTAGATGACCGGCTCACAACCACCTGTAACTCCAGCTCCAGAATATCCAACACCTTCTTCTGGCTTCCATGGGTGCTCACACACATGTGACATGCGCACTCACACAAACACATGTTAAAACAAAACAAAAAAATTTTTAAGGAAAACTAAACGCTAATGATGGCATTCTGGAGCAGAGGAGCCCAGAGTGGACTCGGGGAGGTCAAGATAGACAGGGGCTCTGCCGTCTAGGACCAAACTGAGAAATGGACGTGTATGCTCCTGGGCCTGTGTTCTCCTCTATGTCCCATGCTGCCTCTGTTCAGGGGCAGAGCAATGCTATGCCAAGTGTTCCTCTGAGTGTCTTTGCCCCTCGCTCTGGGTGGCAAGCCTGGTCCCTCAAGCCCCTGCTCAGAGTTGTCATGGAAGGGCCTCGTTGAAGAAAAATCAATGCGCGACAGTGTTCCGAAATGATCGCATGCAAGTGACCCGGGGAGGGAGTGTCTTAAATTATTTATCCAAAAGCAGCCAGTGGTTTGAAGCAGACTGCCCATTCCCCGGGCAATCTTGTGAAGTTCCTTTTACGATGCAGGAAGTACACGCCACCCTGTCACAGCCGAGACACTCACGGTAGACCACAGCATACCAAGTGGTGGAAGTGAGGGCTGAGAATTTCCAGATAGAAACTGCAGAAAGGCGAACTAAGGCAGAAAGGAGTGATAACCGCAAAGAATCGTAATGGAGGGGGGGAGGGGCGGGGATCGGAAGGAAGGAAGAGCAAGAATTCTTGCCGGATAGCTACATCAAGGTTGCCGGGGGTTTCCCAGCTGCAGGTTGGAGTGTCGAGGGGTGTTTCCCCTGACTAGCCTGTGTGGTCTGACAGTACCAGGCAGCATTCCAGGCCCCTTAGGGGAGAAACTTCTCATTAGAGGAGGCTCTTTGTGAGTGGGCGTGGCTGCTCACCATTTGTGTCATAGTGTTACCATCTGCTATGCAATCAAGCATAGTGTTGCCATACTTGACTCTTCTAGGGTGAGGGAGTTCCTGGAGCAGTCCAGAGAGGTTTTAGTAACTAGCTACTGTGTCTCTCGTTCTGAAAACACAGCACAGCAGGAGATAGGCAAGAACTTGAGCACTCCTCCGTCTGGTGTCTGGTCTCGTACCTGTCTCTTGATCCTGCAAAAAGAAAGGGGCACCTGAGGGGACAAGGTGACTCTTGGGCCTCAGATTCCCATTTCAACATGAAAGCGGCCAGGGTTTTGTTAGTCGGGTGTTTGCGCTTTGCAGTGGCGGCCACTCTGCCGGCGTGGTGGTGGCTCAAGCTCTGTCTAAGGCCTTTCAGTCATCCGAGCTTGTCTCACCCTCGCGCTGCACGGGTCTTCAGCAGCAGACAGCAGGCAGGTCTGCCTCGCTGGTAGATAAATACATGGAGGGAGACTTGTGAGTCACGGGCGGTGGCGGGGGGGGATACAAGCCAAAAAGCCAGGAAACAAGTGTGTGGGTGAAAAGACTCAGATGCCGATCCTGACCGTCCAACAGATGAGGCATAGAATGTCCCCAGGCCTGGCATAGAATGTCCCCAAGCCCACCTCGCAGGCGTCTGAGTGCTCAAGTGCCCTCCTCCTTATCCCCACATCTCCCTTGCTGACAGTTGCCTGGCTTCATTTGCTTAATTCCTCCCTAGACTCTCCGCACTATGGAGTCCCCTTTACCAATGCTTTATTGTCCCCTATGCTATTCCGGGTCTGGGCGTCTTCATGACAGACACCCAATTCCACACATCTTTATTACCCGCATTCCAAGTAAACCCTCCTTATAAGCGGTGGTTGGTTAATTGGTTAGTCCAGACTGCTTTGACGCACAATGTAGTGCAGCCTCCTCTTTCTGGGTGATGCCTATCACGGAGATCTCGAAACTCCAAACTTCAGATCACAAATAAGAAGTCCTTAGAAGCTATCGGCAAAGTGATGAGCCAGTGATCCAGCCAAGTGGTTACAGGATGCACATCCTGCCACCTGGGACCCCAGCTAAGGAGCATGCTTGCTTTCTGAGGAGCAGAGTGGAGAGGCTGGAATGATGGTTCCGTTGGTATCAAAAGTGCCAACCTGAGTTCAATCTGCAGAAGCCATGTAAAAATACTAAGTGTGATATACATGCTTATAATCCCAGCACTGGATAGGTGGAGGCAGATCTCTGGGGCTCACTGGCCAGTCCTGGGGCTCACGAGCCAGCCATGGGGCTCACTGGCCAATGATAGGGCTCACTGGCCAGCCAAGCTTTCTGAATTGGCAAGTTCTAGGCCAACTGTCTCAAAAAACAAACAAGCAAAAAACAAAAACAAAAAAATAAGGTGGATAGCATCTGAGGATGACATTTGAGGTTGTCCTTCTGACCCCATGTGCGCACACACATACACACACACACACACACACACACACACACACACAAAAGTAGTGGCCGTGTGGTGGCAGTGCAGTGACCTGCCTACCCAAAGAAACTGAACAAGTCTTAGCAGCCCGAGGTAGTCGAGCACGGTTGAGTAACCACATGGGAAGGGCCGCCATTGCATTAGGCCTGGAGAGTTAGCGCCCAAGCTTTGTGGGCAGACTGGCCTGAGACTGAATCCACACAGGGATCAAGAACGGGGTCATGGGAACACAAAGGTTGGAAGCGGAAGTCCTGTGGGTGCTGAGGTCTCTTCCTGACCTGTGCTGCTGGGAGGTGTGACTCATCTCACTCTCCCCAGCCTAGCTTACACTCACACACACACACACACACACACACACACACACACACACACACACACACACACACCTTACCACTAACACAATCTTGGATCATCCTCTCCAAGTGTTGCCCCCATCGCGGTTAGATTCTAAATCCTTGTCATCTCCAACCTGTCCTCAGTTCCCCAGCTGGCACAGCATCCTCGGGCTGACATTTCCCCCTCCCACACAGCTGCTACCTCACTCTCTGCCTGGAGCTCCAACTCATCCTTCTTCCTGTCTCATGTGGGAGCCAGGACCCCTCCTTTTGGACTTTGTGGCGGCAACGGCCCCTCCCGCTCTTACTTGTTTTTGCCAGAATTCCAGAACCCTCCTGTATCAACCACCTTCTTCCTTCCTGCATCCTGAAAACAAACAAACAAGCAAAAGCATCCCTAGGTTTACCTCGTGGGCTCAACTGAAAAAGCAAGGGCCCAGTGAAGAGCAAAGAGGCTTCTGAGAGAAAAACCCCTTAATCAAATACAGATATCAAGAACACGAGCAAAGGGACTAGAGAAATTGCTATCAAAGTAAATTGCTTTTTGTACAAATGTTCCTTTTATTTGGATTCTCCCCAGTGTGCTATTCTCTCTTTAAGGCTTGGCGAACAGATGTGCTTTTGAAAAGGTTGATTAACTTATCCTTTTCTTGACCCCTTCCCACTCACCCACATTCCTGGGATCGGTGATTATTCCAAGAGCGGAGCGGAGCCACTGAAGTGTTCCTTACCTTAAGTGGCCTTTGATTCTCCAGGTGCAGAATCTCAGCTGGGGCTGAGCAATCGATTCCATTGAAACTTAGAAAGGGGCCAATTCTTAGGAACCCGTCTTTCCCAGTCCTCTGCCTCTAGAGACAGCAGGCCTAGGGGGGAAAAAATGTCCCCACGGTCACTGCCATCCATTCATTCTTTTCTCCTCAAGATCAACACCACATCCACCCGCTTTGTAGTCTGTGATCAGCGGTGACCTTGGTCTTCTCTGGAACAAGGTGACACTCCAGCCTCCGAGAATTGTTCTTGTCTTTGACAAAGACCAAACACCTGAAGCAAGTACAGGGTTTGACCCAGAAGTCGCTATTAGGAGCCCCACGGTTTTTGCAGTAGTCTGACTCACATATAACATACATCCAGTATTCTGTAGCTTCTAACCATGAAGATGCTAAGATGTATGAGCATCCCATCAAAGTGATTAATTGTCAGAAATGTGAGCTTTTTCCCAGGGTCTTATTTTTAAATATATATATGTATATTCCTATTTTTAAAAAAGTCTGGGTTGACTTTCACAAGCTCCGTGAGATCCTGTGAGAGACACCACCTGCCTCTTGTTGAATCCTGTTCACATCTTCATTCCAAAGAAACAGCCTGCTTTGTGGGGGCCTGGAGAATAATGCAGGAGATGGGCATCGAGGTAGGAAAGCTGGCATGGCCTGCAGGTGCCAGTTGCTATGCTAAAAGCATGCCAGGAGTGGGCTGGCTTTAGAGAGGACTAGTGCCACATGGCATTGGTCCTTTTGAGTGGATCTTGGCAGGTTGCTCTGTGTGTCCTTTTCTAGAGGCTGCAGGGGACGTGAACATGCTTTAGCGCTCTGGCCAGGAATGAAGAAGACTTTTAATAGGATTGAAAATGAGTAGCTTTTTAAGGGTGACAGTGATGGATCCATCCTCAGTTCAGTTCGTGGTCAAGGTGATGGTCCCCCGATAGACGATGCTGATGAGCAAGATGGTTCATGTAGCCTAAAGGTCTTTCTTCTCATTGCTGCTTCAGCTGTTTGAGGCTTTGAGTATCTTAATTAGCTTGAGACCTGGGCAGAAATGAGAGGACCCTGCTTACCATCACACGCTGGAGTCTCTTTTGAAATGTTTTAACACTTTAGACAGGCAATTTTCATTGGTTCTGATTTCTGGAAATTGGACAGTGTGGTACATAAAACGTCCATACTTCCAAGCCCTCGAATCATCATATAAAAGAAAAAGATAGGCATTGATAATACTGGAAAATTTCAGAGTAAATTAACGTAGCCCTGTTCCAGCCAGAACTAATCAGATTGGGTGCCTAGGTTTGATCTGTTCTAAAGTATGAGGGGAAAAAAAAACAAACACAAAAATAGCCTGAGATGGGGAAGGGAAGAAACAGCGGCGCAGACAGATGAAAGGGGAAGATATTAAGACATTATTTCCAATTCTTTTATATCAAGGTATCTGATGATGAAACACGACTTCCTTCAATTGCCATATGTTTATCGAAATCCAGAGGAGCACGACTCTGGCCCTTTTTGTCTACTTGGATTCATGCGTAGGGGGGATTTAGTTTGCTACCTTAAGTACTGGTCACTGCAGCTGTGTGGCTGAGGGTGCACACAGGAGCCACGGGGCCTTCCCGATACCCAAACCTCAGTCGGTAATGGATGAGCGACAAAAACACAGGGGACAGAGGTTTCTTCTGACCGAAGAGGTGACCTTTCTTAGTTCGTTTTTCTGGTCATTGTTGGAAGAAAGTTCGTTCGTGGGAGAAGTAATCTAGGAACATGCATGCTGAGTGATCTAAACGTGTGATTCTCTAGAAGCCCGCCACATTGGGGAGCCAGACTCAGAAACGGTTGGCTCTTCGCCTTTTACCTGTGATGACAGAACTTCTGATAATCTGGTGTGTTTGTTTCCCTTTTTTTTTTCTTTGTTTTCATAGTGGACATCCCAGAAATCCATGGGGGAGAGGGCTATGAAGATGAAATTGATGGTGGGTATTACTATGATTGAACAGATAATCATGAAATTCAACTTTGGTTATAAAAACGTCAACAAAAATAATGCTCTGGCTATTGGAAGGCCAGAATTTAGAACTATCAGTCAGAAATACAAGTGAAAAGAACCCAGAGGAGAATGAAGAAACCATTAATTACTTTGCCAAGGTCAAATCTCCAGGTTGAGAAAGTTTATCGGAGTCCCTTGGCCTAATCTGAAACAGGCAACTTTCTCTATCAGTGGACTTCAGATCTGGATAAACCCTTTAGAGGTGTGAAGTGAGCCCCTCTCTGCTGTCACTGATTGACCTCTATGACCTTCACAGAAAGGCCTGTGTGAATTATCTGACCGGTGAACAGTCTCAAGCTAGCTAGCATGGGCAGCTCATTCCGCCGCTTTCAGGGAAACCTTGTTCCACTATCCAAGATGCCAGATCTTGCTTATTGACGATTTAAGGGTTTGGTTCACACTGCTCACCTCATTTTTTCACACTTATTCCAAGCCCTATTTTTGCATTTCAAATGCACATACTTCTAGAGGCTAATACAAGAGTCCTGGGGATGGGGAGGCGAACACATAGGTGTGATTTCTACTCAGTCGTGAAAGGTCTCCTGGGCTTTTGCGAGAGCCAG